TTTTGCATTAAAGTATTTGGCATGTGCCTTTGCGCAAGAGATGTGCTTTTGCACAAAAGCATCCGTGCCAGTGTAGATGCTCTCTTGCACAAGAAAGCTCCGATGGGCATTTTAGCCATCGAGCTTTCTTGCACAAGAAATTAACGTTGCCTGTCTACACTGGCCTCTTGTGCAAGAACAGTTGCGCAAGAGGGCTTATCCCTGAGCGGGAGCATCACAGTATTTGTGCAAGAAGCACTGATTTTATACATTAGAACGTCAGTGTTCTTGTGCAAGTACTTGCGGGCCAGTGTAGACAGGTGGCAAGATTTTGTGCAAAAGCAATTGTTTTTGCACAAAATCTTGCCAATGTAGACACAGTCTGAGGGTTTGGGTATTAAGTGGGTTTAGAATAAGGGGAATCAGAACTCCATGCTCTAAGGATACTGAAACTCATGAAAATTAAAGCTCACACATGTATATAAGGCTCTGTAATATAGATGAATGTCTAGTATCTAGGGTGAAAACAATTGAGTATGTATCATAATGGTTATGTTAATATCATGCAATGTCAAAGGGAGACAGTGAATGATCTTAAGTGTTCTTCACTTCGCCCATGTGCTTACCATATCTGGGAACACAAAGAACACAACTCTAGAATAAATTCTGTAATTACACATTCATTTTCAATAACCATATTCTAATCCTCACGTTCCTTCATTTTTAAGGGCTCCAGGATTTCTCATATTGTGGGATTTCTCACAAAGTTGACACTTGCCCGATATATGACTGGCTTCTCTCCTTGTTTTTTTTTTTTTCCTTGTGAAAACTAGTTGAAGCTAAGCAGCAGCCAACTTTGATTTATGTTTTTAATAAACTAAATTCAGATAGCACATATTAATAAAATTATTCCCTAGATGTTTTTTAAAGTTTCCAAAAACAGTCCCATATCTAAGTCAAAGTTAATGTAACCAGAATTTCCATGGGAATTTCTGTCAGTTCAGGGTAGTTGGAACTGGCTAATGTAAATAACCACTGCTCCGCCTCCACACAGTATCTTGCCTGAGGGTTGTGCTTTTATTCTGAAAAGGTGTGTTAAAGTGTGTCATTTTTTGCAGGGACTAGAACTAATATTTGGTAAGAGAACTTTATGATTTTGTGGAAACTGGAGAAAAAAGTAAACTGCAGTTTGCTAAATGTTGTGGAATCTTACTTTTCCGTCTGTATGCAATCCAAAAAGAACTAAAAGCTCTACTAAACTGAGAATGTTAGCTAATAATGTTCTGACTCACATTCTGAGAAATCAGAAATGCTACATATGCAAATAGTTCTATAGAGCTCTATACCAGGCTGTTTCTCCATTCCTTCCAGTAAGCCTTAAGAATGTGAAATAGCATTTAAGGGTATAAGCTTTTCCTGGTTTAAAAGCAATCTGTAGAACTACCAGATTCTAACTAGTAATGTTTAAAAGATGCTCAAGGCCTCAGAACTCCCACTTGCAACTCTGCTAGAGCACGTCTACACAGCAGGGCTGAAGTTGAATTAATCTACATCAATTGTGTAGCTTAAGTTTGAAATCGCTTAATTCGGTTTTTGGTACTGACTACACAGCAGGAAGTCGAAGGAAAAACAATCTTCCTTTGACTTCCCTTACCTCTAGTGAAATGAGGCTTATCATTTGAGTCTAGGTTGTATCAACAGGTGTGTTGTAAGCAAAACTCGTGAAGTCATTCTGCCGCTCTACTCTGCACTAGTTAGGCCTCAGCTGGAGTACTGTGTCCAGTTCTGGGCGCCACATTTCAAGAAAGATGTGGAGAAATTGGAAAGGGTACAGAGAAGAGCGACAAGAATGATTAAAGGCCTAGAGAACATGACCTATGAAGCCAGGCTTCATGAACTGGGCTTGTTTAGTTTGGAAAAAAGAAGATTAAGGGGGGACATGATAGCGGTTTTCAAATATCTAAAAGGGTGTCACAAGGAGGAAGGAGAAAATTTGTTCCTCTTGGTTTCTGAGGCCAGGACAAGGAGTAATGGGCTTCAAGTGCAGCAGGGGAGGTTTAGATTGGACATTAGGAAAAAATTCCTAACTGTCAGGGTGGTCAAATATTGGAATAAATTGCCAAGGGAGGTGGTGGAATCTCCCTCTCTGGAGATATTTAAGAACAGGTTAGATAGACATCTGTCAGGGATGGTGTAGACGGAGCTTGGTCCTGCCTTGAGGGCGGGGGGCTGGACTCGATGACCTCTCGAGGTCCCTTCCAGTCCTATGATTCTATGAGTAAGAAGTTCTCCAGCTGGACATTATTGTGAAGTCAAGGCGGGTGATGTAGATGCAGGATGTTATCTCGGAATAACATGGGTTACTCCAAAAGAACACTGCTGTGTAGAGGGGGCTACAGCTGATGAGAATACATGAGCCGTTCCCAGGTGAACAACCGCCGTGTGTCTCTGCCCACAGCCTGTAGCCGCACTCTCCTGGGCTAGATCCACGGGGTCTCCCAGAGCGAAGCGCCAAACGCTCCTCTGAGTCTCTCCTCCACTGACTGCTCAGAAAAACGCACCCCCCCCCCCCCCCCCGCCCCTCCGCCGCGGCC